AGCAGCAGCGAGACCAAGGCAGCGAGGGACACGGCCCCGAGACCAAGGAGCACAACATCAGCGCGATCAACAAAGACCAGCAACAGCTGCACGGATGAAACAAAGAACCAATCACATCGAGCAACAAAAGATAAAAAAATAGCTTTCCACAGACCTTCAGTTCGTGCCTGTTGCTGCTCGGTTCAGTTTTCCAGTAGCATTGCCTGTACATAAGTAAGCTTGTTCTTCGCGATCGAAGAACTATAATATGCACAGCAATTATCTCGAGAAAGGAAAGCTGCGTAACAGCTGCACGGATGAAACAAAGCACCATCAGATCGAGAACAAAAGTAAAGAGAATCTATCTTAAGACCTTAAGTTCGCGCCTGTTGCTGCTCGGTTCAGTTTTCCAGTAGCATTGCCTGCACATAAGTAAGCTTGATCTTCGCGATCGAAGAACTATAAAATACACAACAATCTTTCACTAGCCAGGATGAGAGAACAAAAAAGAGCTGCTTTTAAGTGAAAAAAAAAAAAAGCTGTGCTGTTCCCAGTTCAGGCAAACACCACCTACAAATAAGCTGCCGCATAGGAAAAGAAACTGCGGAATTCACACTACCATAATCAAAGTGTACTAACCTTTACATTCCAAAATCATCATATAAACCACCCGAACTTCGACCGTGTACCTTCGCTTGGGAATAACTTAGCTTGATGTTAGAGAAAAGAAAAGGCACGGCTGATTCGTTGAAAAGCTCCAACACCCTGCGAGATCATTTGGGAGTAAGAACCACGATTTTAAAAAGCGTGAGCTGAATCACTAACCACTTTCGTGGATCACAGGATGCGATCGGCGTACGACGGGAGCCTCCGGAAGAAGTTCATAGGTACCGGAGGCACGCGGTTGCGGAATCGAGGATGTCGAAGAGCGTAAATCCCCAGCAGCACCGCCACGACTCGGAGTGGGATCACGTACAGCAGAATAGCAGCGACGAGGCAGAAGGTGATGAAGATAGCCGTCGCACGAGGATCTCTCCAGCTGAGGAGCGCGTTCAGTCGCTCTCCCTGCGACGCTAAGTCCCCAAGAACCGACTGGATCCTGCTAGCTACCATCCGGAGGCGTTCATAGCGGTGCTTGACGATATCAGGACTCTTGGACGTCGGGAAAGTGTCAAACTCTTCGTCGAGCTCGTCGTGCTCCACATGCTCGGCCTGAGAGAGCCTGGCATCCATGTAAGGTGGAGCACGCGGACGGAAGCGGTAGTGCCAGGCTCCAATGAGGAACATGTAGAGGAAAAGCGTTGGCAGGATCAGCTCCGGGTACCAGACCAGGATCAGGAACAGTATGTGGACGAGTACGGTTGTCAGCGGATTTTTCCACTGGCAGATGTCGGAGAACCACTTGGTCACGGCGATGGCACCGGATAAAACTCCAAGCATTCTGTAGTAGTTCACCTTGCTCCTCCTCATGCTCCACATGTTGGAGTCCGTATCCAGCATGTAGTGCACCACCTCCTGGCGAAGAGGAGGCTCCGATCGAGCGAGTCTCAACGAGACGATCCGGATAGCAATGTTCCTCAGCTGTTCCAGCTCGATCACTCCAAGCGGATGCAGGTAGTGCATCTTGGGAAGTGGTGGCGTGAAGTAGATGTGCATCATGTTGAGGACGGAGGTGCAAGAGAACCGCACCGCGAGCTCCAGCTCGCCAGTCTTCTTCACTCCACTTCTCTGGAGGACGAGAAGTGGATACGAGTTTGTGTAGACACGGTCGCTCTCGAGTGTGGACACGCGGATTCTGACTTTTCCAATCGGGTTATCTCTGCCACTGCTAACTTTCTCGCCAGGCTCGTCCTTGGTGTGGCAATTGTCGAACACCCCGATCGTCAGGACTGTGCAGGGATCGTGGACTTCCCAAGTATACTGCTCGTGCCAACGAGGACTGAAGGAGTCCATGCACGTTCTCGTCCTCACCCATTTCTGGCCGTACTTTGCAACGCAGTAAGCATCGGTGGTGCTCCTCCCGTCTCGGCTTTTCATCGGAACCAGGTTCTTCGCGCTCAGGATTCCAATCTCCAGGACGCCCATGCTGGCCTTCCAGAGCTGCTTCGCAGTGGGGCGAGTGTCGCTGATATGGTGAGTGGACTCGTCCATGACGTGGTATCCTCCATCGAAGCAAACCCGCAAATGCAGGCGTCCGCGAAACGGTTTCTCTCCATTCTTTTCAAGGTTGAACCAGCGGGTGTTCACGAGCCTGTGATCGATTCGGCGGTCAACTTCCTTCAGCGGTATCTTCACCACGCCGAGAACTTCTTCCTTGTTCCCGCCAACTCTGTCCTCGACGGTCAAAACCAGGTGCTCCTCGAACGGCTCGGCTGCTACGAACACCATGTCCTGATTCCAAAAGGGACTGTTGGTTCTGTTTGCCGATACTTTCGTCTTGTACACCTGAGTCCCTCCGAGTTGGACTCTCACGCTGACTTCAGGCAGACGATTCTTCTCCGACGGTATCAGGTCCTGAGCTTCGATCACGTTGACGCGTAAATACCACAGCTTTGGCGACATGTACACTTTCGCCTTGTTGTGGTAGTGTCCGCCAGAGTCGGATTGCCAAGCCTCAGAGAACGCTTCATCTGCCTGAGTACCCCACCAGACAGCCAGCATTATCTCGCCCCTCACGTGCACGTCACCCTTCCTTCCTGGCTCGAGCTTATACCACTGAGGCGCGAGAGGACTCTCCGGCGGCACACGCTTGGATATCTCGGTCAGGTCGAACTGCACGAATCCTAGAAAGTCGTCCTTGCTCACTTTGTCAGCGTCCCAAACGGTGATCTCCACTGTCGGCCCCTGGATTTTGTCCTTGCCGAATGCAAAGACTTGGTTCCACACGGGGTTGACGCTCCTCTTCCGGATCTCTGTCTTCGCCGGGTAGCCTTCGCCAACCTTTACCTTGACGTATGGATCACTGCTGCCGCCGAGGTCTTTGGCAACCAGGTCTCTGGCCTTCACCACGCGGACGTAAAGGTACTGCATCTTCTCCACCAGGTCGTGCGAGATGTGCTTCTCACCGACATGTCCGAGCACCGGGGATGTGTCCTTGAGAGCGAAGTCCCCAGGCGGCAGCATTGTTGTCGGAGCAACCATCTTTTTTCCCTGCCCGTGATCGTCCTTGATCTTTTCTTCCTTCTTCAGAATAATTCCGTGGTCGTGATCCTTGAGCTTCTCGTGGTGATGGTCCTTCACCTTCTCGTGGTCCTTCACATGAGCCTTCATCGACATCCCGGAAGACTCGTCCACGTAGTAGACCTTGATACGCAACTCTCCCTTCACAGTCGACCACAAGTTCTTCTTCTCCAGCGGATGATGAGTGATCGCCTCTTCGCCGTGCTTCACGAAGCTGCTACCTGGGATTCGAACCTTGCCGAGGAAGCCATCCTTTCCAGAGCTAGCATTCTTCTTCTCCGTATGGACCCAGATATCCAAGCTGTCCATTCCCATGTTGATAGGATCCGAGACCGGGAATTCAAACTTCTCATTCCAGACGGGATTGAGGTCCTTGACCTTCACCTTCGTCTTCCTCCTCTGTCCATCGAAGTCGATGATGCAGTACGGATTTGCCGAGCCTTGTCCATCCTTGGGCATCAAATTGTGGGCGCTGAGAATCTCTACGTAAAGCTTTCTCCCCATCTGAGCTACGCTATCTGATGATCAGCTCTAACCTGCGAGCACTAAGAAAAAATCAGTCCCGACCGTAGCATAGCTACATTCGATTCACGCTTACCTGAAGAACGAGTAGAGCCCTTAGAAATGAAATAGAGACGCGTGGTTACATAGAGATACTCCAGCTGCGACGAAGGAACAAGAGTTAGCGATGCCGCGCAAAAAAAGAAAAACATAACAATCGTTCGCTCCTACTTCTGGGCAAGCGCACGTCACGAGCACACCAACAGGAAGAAAAGAAAGGAAAAAAACAAAGCGCTGCGCTGATTATTTCCTCACAGACACGGGAAGAACAGTACACTGACAGACAAGCTACAACGGCGTTTGGAAACCCTCGTCAATCTCACGGGCGCATCGAAATTTCGGCGATAGACCGGATCAAGCAGGGCATTTTCTGACCAGGAAACACGGACACCGACCCCTCACATCGCTGGCATCGACCAGAGATTTCTTCATACCTGGCGCTCGCGCTGGAAGAATGAGGCGGCGGCGGCTCGCGCTTGCACAGCGCCACGGCCCGATCGATTCTAGCGCCTCGGTACCGCGAGTAGCGAATCCCTAGAAGCCGCAGAGCTCCGGAGCAATGCAGGGGGATTCCTTGCTTCGCGAAACCTACAAACAAAACGCGAAGAACACCTCGAGCAAAAGGGACGGGGTCCCAGGAAGAGGGGGGAGATTTTACTTTTACCCCTTACGCAGAGCAAGGGTAAAAAGGGACGGACGCCGGCCGGCCGGTGACTAGACGGTAAATACCGCGTGATTTGACAGGAGGTGGATTTCAAGAATCTCAAATTTTTACCGTTAATGTGCCCCCTTCCCCCACTGGTAAATTTTGAAAATTCTCCTCGGGCCACATAATTACCACAAGCTGGCTATTTTACGTACGCCACAAACTAAAATCCCGCTAGATTTGCCGCAATAATTCATTTCTTACCACTCTGTAAGAACCCGCACCAGTTACGGTGGTAAATCTAGCGGTGAAACATTGGGCGAAAACATCCGAGACGTTGATTTGGTGGCTATTCCCGCATCCAAGAAGCGGTGGTTTATACTGGCCATTCCGGCGTAGAATGCCGGGGGGCTGACACAACGCCGCGTGTCACAAACTTAAAAGATTAAATAATTCTAGGGCTAGTGAATCGGACAAACACAACATTAGACCCCATGTATGACCTGTCCCTAAAGCTTTGCGCTGGGCGCAAAAAATCGTATACTTGTCTCACTTCCATGGAGGATGATTTTTTAACTTTTTAACTTGGTCCCACGTAACGGGCACATTCTGCCGTACCCCCTAAAGATACCAGTACGGAATTAAACAATGGTTTTGTTTAATCGAGAAATAGTTTTCTCTCTTAAAAAGCTTGGACCCCACTGCGAGCGAGCGAGGAGGCGGCAGCCTTTCACTAGCGCAAGTCAAATCCCTTTCGTGGATTCTTTCGCGATGTGGCAACAGCAACGAGTTTCTCTCGATCGAAATCCTATCCTCCTCTTTTGTTTTGTAGCTCAAAGCCCAGTGATGGATCAAACTAGCGGGAGAATAGCTTTTGTCGGCACGGAACTTTGATCCACAGTGAACAACACACACTGTGGCAGAACTTGGAGAAGACGAGAGCGAAAACCTTTCCCGCTGGTCCTGCTCGAAGTGGGAAAGCTTTAAAAACACAAGACGAACAAACAAAAGAGACATGAACGAACCGACAATGGCGATAGCTTGTTTGGAACCGCCTCTTTGACGCTTCACAACTCGATCTGGGAGTTAAAAGCAAGAGACAAACTTGAGGTGCGAGCAGGCAGAGAAAAAAAAACACTACCTTTTCTGAGCAATGAGTCAGAAAGTCGGTGGTGGCGAACAAAACTCAAGTTTCTTCCAATCGCCACGAGTTTCACACTACGGAAACATTGATCCTGACATAATGCTGCAACAATGACGTTCCCAAAGACGAAAAATCATCTTTTTAAGCCCAGGGATTTCCAGACATACCGTTCGAAACTTTAGAAGGCAGTAGCATGGCCACCACGATGAACTCCAGTGATAAAATGATAAACTTGTTTCCTCTTAAAGGCCATAATAGAAAAGCTTCACTTCTCGTGTCAGTGCTATCTCTCCGGCCTTCTTTCCGCCTTGAGAAAACACAAGTCCTGCGAGATGCAAAGTTCCAGGCTCCAGAGGCCAGAAAAGAATAAGCAAAACTTGTAACAATGAGAGATATGAGAAACTATTACCGGTCAAAATCAGCGTGCCGAGACAAACGAAGACAAGCTAAACGTCCATCCATCCACCAGATTGCCGGAAAAACGAGTAAGATAACTTCACAGTATCTGTTCCACTTCTGTCCAGTAAACAGCAATAGACAAATCGAGTTAAGAACAGGGATTCGCTGAAACGAGAGAAGAAAGTAAAAAACAAAACAAAAACAAGACCTCTGTTGTGTCAGCGACAAGGTCGATGTCTGTGCGAAGAAAAGATTCGTCAGCTGCAATTGAGTCACCGGGAATTGGTTAGACAATTCCAAAAGCTTTTAAACTTATCTTCCAGAGATGTCGCTCTCCGCATATGAGTGATGGAATCACTCTGAGCATTCAGAACTAAAAAGCTGAAACCCGGACTTTCCACAAGAACAAAGAACGAGTTCCCAGTGCAAAAAAAATAATCTTACTTTTCTTTGGTGCTTTTTCCAGCTAGTCCTGCTTTGCTTCCAGTTTCTCACCGGAAGAGACTTTAGCTTTGAAAGCAATGTCCAAGTTAAAGGCAGCGATGGAGCACAGAACGGCGAGCGAAAACATTGGTAGAAGATGAATGCTCGGGTCCGTCTTTCCTGCCGTGTAAACATACCAGAGAACTACGAGCGTACCTGCGGGGCTCAAGAAAGTGATCCCGAAAGCACTGAGGAATGCTCCGAGAAGGCAAGAAAAACAGCCAGCGACGAAGACGAGCCCCAGAGGATCGCTGCTCTGTTTTGGTTTGCGTTTGAAGTCCCGGAGAAGATTTTTCCAGTCCGGGAGTGAGAAGCCATCGTTAGAATCTCCCAGGACAACTTCGGCCTTGGCGAGGAACGCGCTTGGATAGAGGAGAGCTTTCACGGCTATGTCGCTGGCGAGCTTCTTGGAGTAAAGAAAATCCGCTACCACTTCCATGGGGCTGGAGCATGAGCCTTTGGAGCATGGAACACTGAAAACGTTGCAACAGTTTTAGCGAAAACTATAGGGAAAACGAGGAAAATCTAAACGCATCTATCAGCCAGACATGGCAGAGATTTCTAGTGCTTAACAACGCACAATATAAACGGAGAACACACACTGCAAAGTTATGATCCGGACAAAATCTCTAAACAGCTGACGATTCTACAAAGGCGAGGTTAGAAAACATCCAGCAGAAGACCAACAGTCATACAGATTAAATCTCGGCAACTGCCAAACAAGGAGAGCGAAAATTCACTAGATCTCTCACTCACGGTCATGGTAAACGAAAAACAAAATTTTGGGCAGCAAGAATGGAAGCAAAATCTCGCACGAAACTTGGCTTATCTTTTGACAATGCTTACTTGAAGAGCTGCAAGCCAAAGACGATGATGAGGAAGAAGAAGTTCGCTGCTCTAAACCTCCATCCTTCAAGCGCCATGACCTTAGGTCTTCTTTCTACTGCTAAAACCCCAACTTTGATAGGACGCGACTTGCACACTTGACTGGGGCTTTTAGAAGCAAATATAAAAGGTTAAAGTAAAAGAAAATCACTAACAATTTACTAGCAATTAACAAAAGATATTTTTAAAAAATGGCAAAAGTTTTTATTGATCAATAAACATTGTGACTCAAAACTTATTAAACCTACAATCTTATATTTATCCCATGAAAAAAAGGGATGTCATTAAAGGAAACAATATACTTTAAAATTTTATTTTTCCAATTTTACAAAAAATTCATGGTGTTGGAAGTGTTTGGAGAATAAAGTGAACATAATGGTTGTGCTTTTCTTGAGTTTTAAAGAAGATAAAAATGTTATCAAAATAAATGATAAAAAATAAATCAAAAAATTACTTTAAACATCATTCACTATATATAATAGGGGTGTTAGACCAAAAAATATCTCCATGTACTCAAAATAATAATAATAAATATAAAAATTCTTTTCCATTCCATCACCCTCCTCAATATGAGTGAAGTATAACCACCATAAATTATCTTAGTAAAAAATTAGATTTTAGGCTTTAATATCTCAAAGATTAATATAAGTGGGTATTAATTAGGAATGGTGACTTTGTTTAGGTTGTAATAGTTAACTATCAAATGAAAAAGCCTATCCTTTTTGGATACAAAGAAGATATGTGTACCAATTAAAGATTAAAAATTCTCAATTAAAACCTTTTAAAAAATTATTTTTTCAATATGTCTATGTAATGCTTTAGTGAAAGATATAATGATTTCCCTTTCACAAGATCAAAGGAATAATCATAATGTCAATATAATGGCAAGATGCTAACTCTTTTTCTATTTGAAAACATCCTCAAAGTAAATATATTTGGAGGGAGAGTGGATTAAGTTTTAATAAATGAAATTAACATTGAATGAATGAAAATTGTAAACTAAGATTTTAATGGTTAACATCTTAGAACTCATATAAAGAAATATGAGAAATTTAGATTGGAATAACAAAAAAAAGGAATTGGAAAAAGAGAGAATTATCCAATCAATATCACACCACTTCTAAACCACATCAAACCAAGGAAAACTAAAAATAATGAATATCTTTATGATGGAAATAACATTGAAGGAGATGCAATCTTAAATATTGTTACTTCTACCAACTCTATGATGAATTTGAAATAGATTTATTGACTGTCCACCACATTAGCATAGTTTTGTGTTGAGCACTTTGATTACAAAATCCTTAAAAAAACCTACTTTTATAGGAGCTTTAGAAATTAATCTAGTTCAACTCTAAGTTAATCTAGAGATCAAATGTGATAAAAAAATCAATGTTAACTATCCATATCTTGAGTTCAAACCCCATAGGTAGAAGGTTTTCAGATTAGCAAGTCATGGTGAATATTCTCCTCGATAAATATAGAGAGATGATAAATTATGTTTTATTTTATTTAAGTTAAGAAATAATAGTTATATCAAAGTTTAATTTTAATATTTTGCAATATAGACCATTAATTCAACATCATTTATAAAGTTATGAGATTTTTTATTAAGGATAGAATGACTTTCTAACATTGAGATGATTTTACTAATATTAAGCCAATTTTCCTTAATTGGATGGAATTGGAGATAATTTTTTTAAAATAAAATAAAATGCTCAATCAACTTGTATCATAATAATACAAATTGATGATAAAATCAATAATGTTATATATTTGCCATCTTTTGGTACTTTCTAGAGTATATTTTCACCATTATTTTTGATGATAGGATTTTCACCTAATCCCTTACATACATTAACTTCCCGTATCTAGTTTTTTTATTTAAAATAGTGTCAGATAGTGTCTAATACAATTTTAGCATAACGTGGAAGTGGCTACCACACTAATTAAAGTAGCATGGAATTTAGGCTTAAGCCCAATTTGAACATTGATATAAACTAATGTTTTATGGTCATACTTCCGACCATTATCCTTACTATACATTTGGAATCCTTATGTTATTTTTCACTCTCAAAAGTACATATATACAAAGATTAATTATGATATTTATAATAAAAAACTCTTTGCAATTGTGGATTCTCTAAAGGCTTAATGTCATTTTTTTTAAGGTCCTCCCCACTTGCTGTTTACAATGATTATAAATAATTTCAATATTGCTTTTTAGCACACATCCTCAATTAGTTTTAAACTCAGTTATAACACTATCTTATTTATTTTGGATTTCCTCCACTAATATTAAATTAAAATATATCATTTTTATTAATTTAATAATAATTTATTTCATGTTGCATGAAGTAACAGTTAGTTTGTTGTATCATCTTTATTTATTAATCGAATTGTTTAAATGGAAGTTTATAATTATACACATCTTTATAATTTACAACCATAAAATTAATATTTTTATTTTAATGGTTGATGTGCACATCAACCATTAGAATAAAAAATATTATACTAAAAAGTAGTTAGGAAAGTTTATAAATTATAAATGCAAGATTAATCTAAATAAATAACAACCATTAGATGGTTGAATATCCTAGAATATCAAATATTCTAAGTATATTCACTGTCCCCTACAAGTTTACTTAAGCATGCATGGATCCTTTTTCTTAGGAGGTCAATTATTAAATTAGAAGCCCACCTATAACTTCACCTAACAAATTAAAACATTTATGATAATTGCATTTAAATTTTTAAAGATTCTAGATGGTTCATAAAGTCTTAGTTATTGTTAAACCTATATTATTGTTGAATTTGGGTAGTATTTAATGAAACTTTTATTTTGATGAGAAACAAATTAGTAACTATGAAGCATATAATGTTTTTTGTTGTTCTCTTTTGTTTTCTGTTTGTTAGCAAAGCAAGAACTCCACCTCCTCCTGATTTTTGTAACAAGCTAATTAATGATTGTTCCAGCGGTTTCATTGGTACACCTTCAGCTACATGTTGTGCTTTGGCAAAGTCAAGTACAAGTCAAGCCATTTGCAAATGTGTTCCTTGCCAGTATAGATCTCTTGCTGGAAGCCTTGCTAACAAATGCTCTGGTGTTAATGTCACCTGTGCTGCTTGCTAAAAATCATAAGCAAGTTAATCACTTCGAATAAAAGGCATAAAACCACTGTTTAACATATCTCTCATTCTTTGTAGTGCAGTTTATTTTAGAGATTCCAGAATTGCGAAACCGTGAGCTTCAGAAACCAGGTTCGCTTATACATGGTCTCGGCCCCCCTTCAAGAAATATAACATTGGAGGATTTAAGTATGCTGTACTGATATGAGAGATACCTGGTCACCTCCCCTTCAAGGGCGGGTACAGCTTCGTCTTTGTCGACTGTGTTTTAGGTGGTTTTGAGCATGGGGAAAAAATTGACAATCAAGGCGACCTCACTGGGGATTGAACCCAGAATCTCTGGTTCCGTAGACCAGCGCCTTATCTGTTCGGCGCGAGGCTGAGGAGAGTTACTCAATCTAGTAAGATCAAGGGCAGCATTGATTTATTTCTTTCTTAAAGTTAGACCCCACGAAGGCAGCAGCAAGTCAAATTACTTCAACCGTTATTTCACGATGTGACGAGTTTCCTCTAGTCTTTGTTTTGTAGCTCTCGGTGAAGCAAGAAACCAACGTCACAGGAAAGAGAGAGCCAAGCCAAACCTCAGAGCTCGCTGGTCCTGCTCGAAGTGGGAAAGCTTTCAAAACCTGGACGAACTGACAATGGCGATGGATTTTTTCTGCTGTTTGGAACCGCCCCTTTGACAATTTTCAAGAGGATCTGAGCAAGAAACGTTCGTTCGTTCGAGGAAGATAGGTCGAAGAAAAAACGCATGAAACTCCTTTTTTTTTCCAAGACTTTACAAGTCACCGGACAACAAAAGAAAGAACATTTTTTACTGAGTTGCTTTTTTACAAGACTTTACGAAGCTGACTAAAAAGCAGGGACCAGTCCGGTGGTGGCGTGCAAAACTCAAGATGGATTTCCCAAGTTTGTATGGAAACTTCAAGCCTGGAGAAAAAAGGCTAAAGTTCTGTAAAAATATAGATACCATAAAGCTCCCTCCAGACAGACGATGGCTCCAGTCCAGTGGCCAAATGACAATTTTTCACCTTGTGCCTTTAAAATAAGAAAAAGAATCACGAATCCTTTTGACAATTGGTTGTCGAAAAGAAACTGTTTTTCCCCAACATCTGTCCGGTAAACAGCAATAGACAAACCAAGTTAGAAACGAATAGCAGCACGGTTTCTAAAAGAAAAAAGCAACGCAAAAAAATGAACCAAAAACAAGAACTTGTGTGTCAGCGACAAGAAGGATGTCTGTGTGAAGAAAAGATTCGTCAGCTGCAATTATGTCACCGTGAATTGGTTAGACAATTCCAGAAGCCTTTAAGCTTACGTTCCACAAAATGTCACCGTGAATTGGTTAGACAATTCCAGAAGCCTTTAAGCTTACGTTCCACAAAATGTCACTCTCCACATATGAGTGGTGGTATAGCTTTGATCTTTCAGAACTAAAAGCTGAAACCTGGTCTTCCTTTCCTCCACACCACAAGAAGAAAGAACCGAGTTGCCAGGGCCAGCAGATCTCCTCTCTCCTCTTTTCTCGCAAATGTTTCCAGCAAGATCATTTATAGTGTGCCAGTTCCAGTTTTTTCAAGGATGAGGCTGTAGTTTGCTTGTGACAAGCGGTGATCAAGTTTAGAAAACATAGAGATGAATGCCAGAAGACGAGAATTGTTACCCTGTTTTGGTTTGCGTTTTGGTTTGCGATTGAAGTCTCGGAGACGTTTTTCTGGTCCGGGAGTAAGCCATCGGTATCCACCAGGACTACTTCGGGCACGCGTTTGGAGTTTTCAAAGCTGTATCGCGCTGAAACATGAGCCTTTGGAGCATGGAGCACTGAAAAGTTGTAACAGCTTTAGCAAAGCTATGAGGAAACGAGGAAAGAAAACTAAAGAAGTACTCACAAGCAATTATCAGCCAGGCATGGCAGTGATTCTAGTGCTTAACAGCGCAAAATAAAAAAGAAGAAACAAAACACTGCAAAGTTGACTGCTTGAATTCTAAAAGCAGAGAGCATCACACTCAGGCAGGGATCAAGACAAAATCACTAAAAAGCTGACAACTTTAGAAAGGGGAAGTTAAAAAACCATTATCAAGCTGCAAACCAAGAATCATACAGAGATTTTAGTTTCGGCAATTGATATACTCAATGCCAAAAGGAAGTGAAGAAGAAATATGCCAAACCAAGGACAACTGTAAGAAAAGGAAAAAAACAGAAAACAAAACTTCTTTGACAAAAAGTAGCAGACATTCGGCCAGAAATTCACAAAGATCTCTCACTCTGCAAAGATGCACGGCAATAGTAGAAAAAAATGGAAAATGTGTTGGGCATCAGAGCAGCACGAGAATGTTTCGTGACAAAGCTCTAGATTCACGAAGAAAATCTTGCAACTTGATCTATCTATCTAATCTATGCTGCAAACCCAAACCTCCGCTCGAGCGCCATGCCCTTAGGTCTTCCTTCCATGACGAAATGATAAAATTTCGGTGGGAAATTTATCAAGAAAAACGATAAGCAACAAGTTGACGAGTCTTTTCCTTGAATGAGGTGTCAATGCGGTCACCGGTCTGAGTTCATCAATATTACACAAGCCGTGATCGTCAACGCTAGATCATCATCCAGATCAAACTTTGTTTCTCTCTTCTCCATTTTAAAAACTTGTCACTGGATCCCAGTGCATTAATCTTTGGATTGACTTCCGAATTGTAAGATCAATGTCTGAGAGTGATCGTCAGTGTAGTAGCGTTTTTAGTGGTGGCGTCTTTGGGGACCGACTCACTGACTCCTCGCATTTAGATCGCGAAAACGACCTTGGTGATTTGGTTCATGCGTTTCGGGTCGCGTCCTACATAGCACTTCGATTTCATACTCGCTTTTCTCTCTGGCACTGGATTTATCTTCGCTCACGCTTCGTCCATCGGTGATCTACAAGGATCCAATCAATCGCCCACTTCAACGTCATGCCAGTTTATAAAGGCTATGATCTATGGATCCCTCGCCTTCACAGGGACTGAGGGTGGCATCTTACCAAACCCAAGGCGAAAAGCCGCGGGAGATTCGCGGAATCTTTTGGGCAGTAAGTGTTGATCATAGCCTTTCAAGGGCGGCATAAGGTGACAACGGTGGCGAAGAGGATAGCCCGTGTAAGTCGATAAGCTTTCGTTCGTTCGAGGAAGATAGGTCGAAGAAAAAACGCATGAAACACTTTAAAGGCTATATTTCTCTTTTTTTGCTATCGTTTCTCTCACTCCTTTTTTTTTCCAGCTTTCTGCCCATTTTCCTCGAATGTCGCTTGCACCGACAATCTAGTCCGTGGGGTAAAGTTGGCGGAGCTCCTCCAGGTTAGGATGTATCCAAATCAATACCGCTCCTCAAGTACGCGGGCGGATCAGTCAGGAGCACAGCAACACCATACGGTACAAACGTACGGTCGATCACTCACGTCACTGTACCTCGGTGCGTGCAATTCGGGGGCGTGAATCGTGATTGATAAGCCCGGGGAATTATTAGGGTTGAGTGGGACGCCCGGAATGCCAGTGGAGGCCATGCGTTGGCCGGGGCACGGTTTCAACCACGAGAATTAAAAGCTGATGAAACCAAGAAATTGGACGAGCGAGCGACGACCATGCAGTTTATGGGGGGGTTGGGATTAAATGTGGCACATTGATTCACACCACTCACAGGAGATTGCTTAAATGGCAAGGTACCTAAGTTGGTAACTGGAGGATGTCCCATGGATTCCTAGGGTTATGTGAAGTGAATAGGGATGCAGACGTCTATCCCTAGAGTTTGAAGTAAATGCCTTTCACTGTCCAATAACGTTGAAAAGGAAATGTTTTATTCATGGGAACCATAAAGAAGTCATTAGTTACCCTTGCATTGTTCTACGCGTGGAATATTCTCCGGCTTGTTTTGTTACGCTTGGGAGTTTTTGCGCTAAGAAACAAAGAGATAACTTCTCTGCATGCTTTGACGACGAAGATTCCAGAGGGGGGAAAAGTGGGTTGAAGAAGTATAGGTTGGAAGCATGCGCATGAAAGTTAGTAATCGAGAAAAGCATATTTCATGTGAAAATTGCTGTCCAGGAAAGGAGGGATCTTGTGTGTTTTGTCCATGGATCCTTTGGAAGCTCCAAAAGGTCCCACTGTCCACTACATCATCTCCCTAAACTTATGTAGGCAGGCACCCAAGCGATTGCTCTCCAAAAAAAGAAGAAAAGTGAAAGACATCCATCCATAGAAAGCAACGTTGCATGATGCCGCAACTCGCATCACGATTGCAGCACTCGCCCGATAATGAAAGTGGATTATGTCTGCTTTGAGTTGTTTAGTACTAAACCGCGCTTCCAGGAACGTTCTAAATGTGGATGGAGATCGTCCTCTTTGGGTCGATTCCAAGAAGTGGATAGACACTAGACATTCTCTATATCTTTCTTTTAGCTGGGACGTGTCCAGCCCTAATTTCACGCGTGAATCTTTGACACCCATCGCGCCCATTACGTGAACAAATGTGCCACCATTTGTCTAATGTACGAGGGGCGAAGGCCTGCCCCTCATGTTTGACCACCAACCTCCGTCCCGAGATTCTTTAGGGTTATAAAACTTTCTCGAAATTTTAAGATGCCACCACCCTTCGCTTGATCGAAGCACGTGTTGGTTTTGTCCCCATGTCATTTGTACCCTTTGGACATGCTCGATCGCTTCCATCGTCAGTTTGTTTTTCACACAGTACCCACATGAAAGCCAAAAAGGTGACGCAGAAAAAAAATACATATGGCCAGTGGTCTTGTTTTGCAGAATTACCGGATCATGTGGACTAGCAGCAGAAGTGGACTCATACTGGCATCAACCAAATCAATCTTAAGGAAACTAAGAGATCATAAACCGAATTGAAAATGGATAATCCCCTGCCACCTTCCAGATCTTTGATTATCCTTGGCGGCCAGGGCGAAAAGCTGCATTGTTTCCTCCAGATTTTCAGGCCAGAAGAGGTTGGGGGCATGTTGTGTGAATCAGAATGGATGCCAAGCAAAACAAATGTCTGGGCCCTCAGAGCCAAAGAGGGAAAGCAAAAAAAATCTCCCAGGGCCCTGGATTTGACCTAATGCCATAGAATATTCTATTCCCATGACCGAATATTCTAATCTCGTTAGGTTAATCCTCGGGGTAGCCGTTTATCGGCCGCCACGTGGCTGTCCTGTCCACAACACGTTGACGGCCGGCGGGCCCAATGGGGCTCCCAAGAAGCGGCAGCGTGCCAGGTGTCAGCTTTGACAAACCAGTACTACCGGTATAACGACAATAAACAAATAGCGCCTGTACCAAAAGACTGTACATTATACTTGCATTTCTGGGGCGTGGCCGTGTATTTACTCGTGTTGTGACATGCTAATAAAAGGAGATGGTGTTAGCGTTACCCTAGGTAGGGCTAATATTCCGTAGAGGTGAGTAAATACGCGCGGGGAGGGAGGGCCCGAGGGTAAAATACATTTATTTTGAATCAAAGCGGCTCCCTGGAACGTCTATATATACTTGCAAAGGGGAAAACGAGGGGTGTTAAGGACACTTTTTTGCCCCAACCCTAAGGCCGTTCACATTGCCTGCGTTAAAGTGTGTCCTTGGCTCAACGCCACATTTTTTTTCTTCTGGTTGGTGTTCCAACGATCGAACTGCGGTGCTTGCTTTGCTCGCATCGTGTTTTTTCCTTTTTTTTCTTGCTTAGAGCCAAGGCGCTAGGGTTCTTGCGGCGCGCCCGGGGGCTGGGCTGGATCGAGCAGCGGTAGGGGCGGAATCGCGGGCGGGGGAAGCCATGGTGGTGATCTGCGGCGGTGTGTGGGCGCCATTGCGCAGGGCGAGGGAGGGCGCGCGCGAAGAATCGCCCGCATCGGCGCGGGCGTGAAGAAATTGGATTGGGGCGTGGCGCCGGATCTCTCACTCGTTGCCGCGCATCTGGATCGGCGATTATCGCACTATTATATTGCTAGTGCCAGGTTGTGCTTGGCGAAAGGAGGACGCGCCTGGGCATTGGCATTGGGATTTTCTAATCCTCCGCCAGCGGCTTATAGGTCATGGCGGCTGAATCGCTTCCTCGGCTCCTAGACTAGCAACGATGAAGGGTAAAATCCATCTCTCTCTCTCTCTCTCTCTTCCTCATCTCAATGTTCTCACTCTCATCCTTTTTTTTGTGGTTTTCCAGTCGCAAACTCTCACCAACACGTCAGCTCCTACGAGGATGGCTTGTATCGATCGCACTCCATCACCGATGTCCTCAACTTTTTCAAGTGGCGATCGCGGACGAGGGCGGTGGCTCCCGAGAAGCTGTCATCGGGGAGCCTAGGTGCGGATGATGAGGGGTCGCCGGATGGAGAGCCCAAGAAGGTAGCAGACGAGCATCCATCAATGTCAGAGAGCGATGGAGGGGAGTTTGATCATCCGAGCCTCCGATTCGCCACCACGAATGGCGAGCGAACACTTTCCAATGGCGACTTTTATGCTGGCTCCTGGCAAGGGAATCTCCCCGAAGGGACAGGCAAGTACTTATGGTCGGATGGCTGCATGTACGAGGGGGAGTGGGGGAATGGGATCAAGACTGGGCGGGGAAGGATCTCCTGGCCATCGGGTGCTACTTACGAAGGCGAGCTCCTGTGTGGAAATCTCCATGGCCGTGGAGTTTACACCGGAGTGGACGACACCACTTACAAAGGCTCCTGGAGGATGAACTTGAAGCACGGCGAAGGTGTCAAGAGCTATGCCAACGGAGATGTCTACGAGGGGTTCTGGAAGGCTGGCTTGCAGCACGGCGTTGGGAGATACATTTGGCAGAACGGAAACCAGTATGTGGGGGAGTGGAGGAAGGGAGTGATGAACGGGAAAGGAGTTTTGAGATGGAGCAACGGTGACACGTACAACGGGCAGTGGCTGGATGGGCTCGAGCACGGCCATGGTGTTTACACTTGGACAGACGGTGCGTGCTATATGGGAACTTGGAGGAAAGGTGTCAAGGACGGGACGGGGATCTTCTACCCGACTGGATACTTTCCGCCGAGACCACGGCGGTCTTTTGAGGCGCCAGCTGCGAGCGAGCTTTCGGGCTCGGACTGTCCGGCGTCTCCGATGGAGAGGCGATGGAGTCTCGAGGGTGGTTTGGATTTGACACACTCGAAAGACTCGTCGCAAAAGAAGTCAGCTATCGACACGCCTGTGCTTGAAAGGGAGTACGTGCAAGGGGTGCTGATCAATGAGATAGTCAAGCAAGGAGATGCCGCGTCACTTAAAGTTTCCAAGCGTCGGCAACGTCGGCCGGCCAAGCGGCCTGGGGAGACTGTTATAAAGGGTCACGGGAGTTACGATTTGATGCTAAACTTGCAACTAGGAATAAGGTGAGTTTTTTCTTTTTGGCTTTCTTTTATATCGTTTTCGTAGTAACGTTGTTGAATTGAAACAGGACTAATGTAGGTAAAATGACGCTTGACACTGCTCCAGACGTCTGCCCGCAGGATTTTGGGCCACGATCGGTTTTTGTATTGAAGTTCCCGAGGCTAGGCTCACATCTAACACCTCCGCATCAGTCACTCGACTTTAAATGGAGAGACTACTGCCCCAACGTTTTCAGGTGTGACGATAAACACGAGCTTTTCCGTCTGATCATTTTCGTATGCCTGGCAGGTCTCTACGTAACATGTTTAGAATTGACTCCGCTGACTACATGATGTCACTGTGCGGCAATGATGCACTGAGAGAGATTTCTTCCCCAGGAAAGAGCGGAAGTGTCTTTTACCTCTCACAGAATGACAAGTTTATGATCAAAACCATGCGGAAGGCTGAAGTAAAGGTTTGTTTCTTTTGTATTTTTCTATTCCGAGTGCGGGTCTAAGATGATATGTTTGCAGGTTCTCTTGGAAATGCTTCCGAGTTATTATGAGCACGTTCAATCGTCCTCTAACACTCTAATCACGAAATTTTTTGGTCTTCATCAGGTTGAGCCTCAAGGTGGAAGGAAGGCAAGTTTTTTTAAATCTATATGTGCTTTTACGCGAGTCTCATCTTGTGTATCATCTTGCAGGTTCGTTTTGTAGTGATGGGCAACGTGTTCTGCACTGACCTTCACATCCATCGGAGATTCGACTTGAAAGGCTCTTCTCAAGGCCGATCCACTGACAAAGTTGAGATCGACGAGAATACAACTCTAAAGGACTTGGACTTGAACTTTGTGTTCCATCTCGAGGCATCCTGGCGGCAATCTCTACTCAAGTAAGAGCACAGTGACAGCAACGTTTGATAATCAGACTTTGTTGCTTGCAGGCAAATAGAGCAGGACTGCAAGTTCTTGGAATCACAAAGGATAATGGATTACAGCTTGCTGCTGGGAGTCCATTTTCGCGCTCCTCAGTGCCCTGCCGTCTTCTCTCCAGTTCCTTCACGAACTCCAGACGCGGCTGCCGAAGGTACAGGTAAGTTTTTGAGATTGATTTGTCCACGAGGACAACCTTATTAAACATTATTCTTATAGACGGCCTGGACTCAAGCAAGCGAAGTGGAACTCTAGCAACAGCGGAAGATCTGTGCTCGCTCCCAAAGACAACAAGGTATAGACATACAGACATCCTCTATCCTGGAATTTCGAGCTTATGAGCCTTGTGTTTTCTTTCTCGCAGGCTTCAAATACGACTTGGTGTGAATATGCCCGCCAGAGCCGATCGTTCTCACTGTGATGATGGAACTAGCAGTGATGTCTACGACGTGGTTTTGTACTTGGGGATCATTGACATCCTCCAGCAGTATGATATCACCAAGAGAGTGGAGCACGCGTACAAATCACTCCAGTTTGATTCTCAGTCCATCTCTGCGGTGGATCCGAGGCTCTACTCGAATCGATTCCAGGAGCTTGTGCGGAGAATTTTCCCCAGCAACGATACCAGTGTCGTCCCCAAGTGAAAAGAGAACCGAATTGGCTCGCGGGGGGGAGGAAGAAGAAGCCGTCGTGTACAGTAAGTAGATCAGTGTTTAGCTAACCAGCTGGTTTTGGCTGCCATTTTGTTCTTTCAAGTGACATTAGGAGAGACTAGTCGAGCTATGTACAATTGGGATGAGAAAGAAAGAAACCAAGTTTTGGAGATGGAATGTCTTTAATGCTTTTACTTAGTCGTATTAGCTGACTTGATGATCTTTGTCGAAGACTTTGACTAAGACTTTGACAACTCGGCTCGTGCCCGCTATTATTTAGTGCGGAGTTCTTTGTAAGGTTTGCACATTGGATCTTCAGCCAAAGTGTATCACGTTTTCCATCGATTTGATAGTGATTCGGTTCCTGGGAAGATCAAGTGATGCGTGGTCCGCAAACCTTGATTTGAAGGTTGGATGATTGCACTGACTTGGAGCAAACAGGAGCTTGGCCACCATTGAGCGGACAGAAAGCTAAGAGTTTTGTTGACACAAGCAACATGAAATTGTCTTTCTGGATTTGATCTCTGGATACATAGCGAGCACGCAGCTGGGCACTTTCAAACTCGTCAGCATCTCTCGAGCCAGATCCTTCCTAAAAGGCGCCAGAACAGCCGAAGAGCAAAGACTTTTAAAGTAATATCATCAAATCCTTCCTAAAAGGTGCCGGAACAGCCTAAGAGCAAAGACTTTTGAAGTAATATCATCAACCATAAGCCCACCCGAAGGAACGAGATCTCTTACCGAGTTATTTCCTTCCAGAACTTCTGATTTCCCGGAACTTGTGCAGATTCGTTCCACACACAAGTGGACCCAACCGCGAGAAAATTTACTTCGAGAGGCAATCCAGTGCCGTCACAAACAAGGACTGAAGAGGTAGCTAGTGAAGAGGCTGTTGTAGACACTAAAATTTTGCGAGAAAATGTGCAAGAGATGTCAAGAAGAAGAAGATATCGTAATGCCGCCATCCATGGCCAGGATATGTTGTAGATATTGGTCAGAGTTGTAATTCAAACAACTGTTGATTGAAGATGAAAACTAATCCAAAATGAATAATCAAATTAAGATAGGGAAGGTGTCTCTAATGAATTTAGCGAGGAGTAAACCAAAAGTTCAACCTGTAAGCATCACTTTGAAAAATGAGTAGACAAGATTGGGTATACATAGCTGCCTTACCAGAGCTGTCACTGCCACTGTCCCCGTTCGAATCCGAGCCGCCAGAATTCTGCTCACCCAGCTCATGGCCGAGCCACATGACAAAGACGAACTCCTTGAGCCCTTCATTCTTGATGTGCATCTTGCAGAAGTTGCCGTCTCGATTGCCCATCTTCACCATTCGACCCTCCCATGCAACCATCTCGGAGTCGTTCGCACCAATCTGTATGAGCATTGGCTGGAACCATTCGTTGTTCATGACGCCACAAGGCATGACAAGCTTGGGCACTCGTCGGACGTGCCTCGCTCGCGCAACACGGTCGATAAGCTGGGCTTTCCCTTCCTGAAAAGATCACGGTTACAAGCTGTTACAGCAATTGCTTTTCACCGTGAATTTCTTGGGCGCCTTGTACTCCACGAATGCCTGTCCATCGTCGTAGACGTTGCTGTCCTCATGTCGACAGTACGCAAGATCAACCCTGTGAAGGCCCGCTGTTGTCTTGTTCACCCAGATGTGCTTTCCAGGGGCAGAATATAAACCATCCAGCAGTGGAAGTATTTTCTCCATGAGCTGCTTCCCATAGTCGTGGGAAGTGAATGGATATACTTCTTTGAAGCATATCTCCGCACGAAATCCATTACACCTGTCCTTGATGCCCTTCTTGTTCTCCCCCCAAAAGCGGTTGAATCCATTTTTCGCGATCTGGATGTTGAGCGTTTCTTTGAAGCTCTTGAGCTCGGACCACAGATTCCGACACTCGCGCAGGTGACCCGTCCAACTCTTCATCAACTCCGACGTCGACAAGAGCCTAGTTCCTACAGTGTTCGTTGAGTCCTCCGCCAGTTCCTCTGCCTCCGCCCGGGGAACAATCACAACCCTGAAGAAATGGTGCGGCACAGACATGTCGAGTGGAATTGCCGCGGTTTCATGCCGCACTCTCGTCCAGTGGCGGCTTCCATCGCTGGAGGACTCCAGGTAAGACACCAGCTGCCGGCCGGCGGGGATGACATCATCTTCATCACCGGACAGTCTCGCCTTGATGGAATCCGCCACCTGACCAAGACTGACCTGAGAGTACACATGAAAGCTGTCATTGTCGATGTGAGCAGCCACCAGAGACGGGTCCGGATCGTAGCGCTGCTGCGGGTCCCCGACCGCCCAGAAGTAGTGAATGCAAGTGTCCATTTAGGGTTCTGCATGGCAAACGTGGTATATTGTAAAATTGGCATGGTGCCTTTGCCGCCAAGCCCCGAGGCGGTGCTATCGCAGGAGGAAGTGGGTGAGCTTGTCATCCAGCCAGGCGTCCGCTTGGCGGATGTGGTGGAGCAGATCAGAGAAAGGGCACAGATACCCCCAGGTAGCCCATTTTCGTTTTTCGAAAGTGGGGATGGTTTCTGGCGGAGGGTTTTTGCTCCAGAGCGGGAGATTTGCATTGCTCCAGATGTGAAATACTACTTCTGTGTTCGTTTGAGACCCAACAAGAGGAGCCGCGACGAGCAAATAGAAGGAAAGCGGTGTTGCTTTGGAGCTCTTCATGAGAATGTGTCGAGGGTGATGGCCGCGCTCGGGCTGTTCCAGATACGTGCCGGCGCCTTTGAGGAGTTTGAAAGGAAGGATAGCACGCGGGATCTGGCTCATGAGATGCTGAAGGGTTTGGGGCTGCTGAGCTGCGACGATTTTGCTGCTCGCTTCAATCTGAGTTTGTTCCTGGACGAGAAGTCTTTCCGGTAAGCTTAAGTTTTATCTCAGCACAAACTTCTCTCACGATCAATATGTATCCAGGGAGAAAATCCAGGAAGACAATGTTCTTCATGTTGCTCTTGTCTTTGTCGACAAAATACAGCTTTCTTTCCGTTCAATGGTGGCCAAGCCTCCGGATCTCGTTTGCTCCAAGTCGATGCAATCATCCAACCGTCAAAAGAAGGTTTGTGGACCTTAACGCGTTGTCTAGTATCACTTGACTTCTTGATCTTTTCAGGAACTGGCATTCTTGTATTGGCTAAGCTGTCTAGTGGCGCTATACAACAGCGTTTGTTTCCCCAGCGTTCCAACGACGCTCGAGCTGATTGCTGGAAACAAAAAGTCAGACACTCCGGACCTCAACGTACGAATTGTCACAAAACTTCGTACAGAATCACTATCAAACGCTGTCTTCAAGGTTGTGATCGATGGGAAAAGTGATCCACTTTGGCTGAAGATCGGTCATTCTCGGAAGGCTCTCAAGACCGTTCACAACTTATGCCTTCCACCTATGCTGTGGAACCAAGTGAGTGCTGTAGAATGTTCATGCCTTATTACTGTGGTTTCTATTTTTGTATTTTTTCTCGTTCCAGGTGAAAAACGAGGGCAGGATCTTGAAAAGATTGAAGTCGAGTGGCTGTTCATTGATACCAAACTTGGTATTCTATGGTCACTGGCATGGCAGGCCTGCTGTTGTCACACGGAACGAAGGAATTCCTTTCCTTGAGCAGTTTCCGTGCGACGCTGATGTTGGAACTGTGGAGAAGCTTTGCAAAGATCTAACAGAGGCGGTCCTGGTTTTACACGTAAGATGTAAAACTTCTGATCTCGTATATTTTTTCTCAACACTTTTTCCAGGACCACAAGGTCTTACACTGCGACATCAATCCAAGAAACGTGGGAGTGTACAACGTAAAGACGGATCGATGGTTTTACCTTTACGACTTTGGGTGTGCGCTGGATCTGCGACGAGACGAGGATGCGTCCGAGGTGGTGGGGAACTTGCTCTTCAGCTCCTGCCGCAACCTGACCAGGCTGCAGCCGAATCTGGTGACCGAGCTCGTCTCAGTTGTCTACACCTGCTTGTATGTTGCGGGTTTGAAGCTGCCGTGGGAAGAAGCAGCAGCCAAGGGAGACTTGGACGGGTGCTGTCGCTTACGTGATACCTTTTTCCGGGAAGTTGACCTGTCTATGTTTTCTCAAAATGTAGCAGGTTGGCTTCGCTTTGTTTTGCAGCAGCGAACTGATGCTCGTCCAAGGGATATTGCTGCGAAGTATAGAGAGTATCTAGGTGGTGACTAATATGTATAAGTGGTGGAGGCATTGCTGGATTTTAAGGCGAATCTCCCTCCATATATAAAAATTAAACATTATGGGTAGTAGCAGAGAAAGAATCTCCAGGCCAATCTCCAGTTCTTCATGTCTTGACAACATTAACAATTAACATTGTGAATTTAAACAACAAACCACTCTCCAATCGCGTGTGGAGCAGCAGCAAGCAGCTCGAGCACCAGAAAGAGCTCGCAATGAGCTTGCATGGAACAATGGCTCCAGACCTTATGCCGTTTGATCACAGATTAAAGTTCTACTTTTCCGCAAATCTTTAATCCGGACCAGCGCCCTCAATTCAAAGACTATTGAGCACGTGAATTTCTGAACATTTCCAGACGCGTTTGTAAGAAAGACAAAGAAAATAAAAATGTCACGGACTTTATAACATTCCCACACTAAAATTCGTCCACGAGAATTTTTATCGACCATCCATCGAATTCTATGTTCATGGCTGGAAATCCTGCCACATTATTTCTTCCAGATGATACACCCCAATCTTTCAAGTAACTTACCACGCTGCGTTGTTCTTCACGCTTACCAGGGATACTTTGGAGAGGCCGGGGGAGAGGCCTTCATCTTGTTCTTCGGCTTCTTCTTCTCCCAGCTCGCGTATCCGCACAGCCCAAACTCGCACTGGTTGTGCTTGGAGCAAACATTGTCGCAGCTCCCACAGTGCTTTCGATCGCGGAGCAAATCCACGCACTTCCCCGCACAGCAGCTAAAGCCATACGTGCAAGGCTTGTTACACCCTCCACAGTTGCTGGGATCCACTTTAGTGTCGACACAGAACCTGTTCCAGCAGCACTTCGTCCCACCCGATGGAAACTTTGCCGGATCCTTGCAGACGCTGGCATTGTGAGCGCACCAAGTGAACTGCCACTGCTGGCTCCCGGAGAGATAGTTGCTTCTCAAGAAGTTGGAGTGGCCGGGCTTTGGAGAGTCCCTCTCAGAGCCATCCTCATCCTCGTTCGCGGCTGCTAAGGCTGTGTTGTAGAAGATGAAAGCGAGTACCACCGACGTGCAGATTGAGTTTCTCATCGCTGCTGCTGCTCTGCCGAGGAAAGCTTACGACCTCCTCGCGCATTTGCTCGCCTAAAATCTGCATCTGCCGGGAAGCATCTCAGATTCGTGAAATGATACGATTGGGAAGGACAAGCAGAAAAAGAAAGGACTATGCAAAGACAAAGCGGTTCACAGAACTCTTGCTTTGACAAGAAAGTAAAGAGGGACTCTGCGGGACCAAGGAAAACCAAGGCAAACGAAGCCAAGCATAAGAACGCGGTGGTCCCAAAAACTAGACGTATGGAATAAGTAGATGCATATCTCAAGCTTACCTTGCCTGTGCTCTTGGAAAGAGAAAACGAACCAAGCTCATCTTATTTGACCATCTGATATCGGCGGGTCATCCCAAGGAGGCCGAGATAATTCTATCATCGCATGAGAACTATGTCTGCTAGGAAGTCAACCTGCAATGGCGAACAAATGGAATCCAGTTCGGATTCTGGTACTAGAAAACAAACCTCGTGTTTCATAGGCGAGAAGTCTGTGTGATTCTCCATTCGTGTTCACATGACAGCAGTATGACTTCTGATCATCACGGCTGAATCTCCAGCTTCAGCACTTTATGATCAATCGTCAGCTCATAGGATAAACAAAAACTTACATAGCAAAAGTCTACAGGAGTGGTACAAAGGACATTCTCAAAGCATGGTTGGCTTAGTGAGCAAAAGGGCTTTTCGTACTTAGCAGCGTGGAATCCTTGGAGAGGGTATCGAGAAATAATTTGATAATAATCGATCACCCTAGTAAGAGATCATTAGCTTTTATCTCAAGGTACTTTTGATAAGTGTTCTTCATGGCTCTTACTCTGGAAAAATACCTGTCAGTTTTTAACATTAGTGGCACGTGGCAACATCCTAGAGATCCAGAGTCCACGCAAACAAGTTCGAGACAAGGTGGTGCTTGGGTAGCATGCAATTTGTGACTTAATTTATGACTTGAAATGTATATTAGCCTAACAAAAGTGAAGACTTAGCTTAAACTGCACTTATGTCTATATTCCATTAGAGCCTATCACTAAAAATGATCTTCAATTTGCCATATAACTAATTTGAGTTTATAATATTTGTTCATTTTGTAAGTTTTTAAATTTAAACTTAAGTGCAATATTATTAGGACATATACCCTTAATTAATTGGAAAAGGGGTGTATTCTTATTCATGGGCCCTTTTTTTATATATTTAAACCTCTTAACCCAGTATTACTCAAACCCAAAAATGCTTAATTTTAAAATCCCAATACCTTACTCAATTGGAAAATAGAGTAATAAGCTCCTTTCTTCTATATTTAAACTCTTATAAATTATCTTTTGAGTAAATAACTATAATTTTTTGTAAGTTCATGCCCTTATAACTCTCCGAAGAGCCTTGCTCTCTTTACACCCTACCTTTCGGATCGAGTTTAGCCAAACCAAACGGAATTACCAAATATCAATCTTATATGTTGTGATTCCCCTAGCCAACCAAAATATCAAATATAAGCTTTTAAATTTGGACTTTCTGGGAGGTCACTTAACCCAATATTATTCAAACCCAAAAATGTTTAATATTAAATATCCCAAGACCTTTAACCGATTGAAGAATACTCTTATTTATTGATTTTTTTTTTATATTTGAATCTTTATGAATTGTTTCTTAAGTCGTTATCTTTAGTTACTTACATGATTTATATAAAGCTAAGAAATTTCTTCTTGTTGCAATATTATTTTACAACTTGAATATGATTTATATCCAAATCAATAATACTAATATCTTGATGGCAAAGTTATAGCTGGAGATGTTAGCAGCGACTATTAAGAATGTAAAGAAGAAAAAAAGAAGAGCTTTACCAGAGGTTTGCTTATACAAAATAGCTATTACTTTCATGGATCACACTTAATATATTTTTTATAGTGCTAGGATATTTAAAAGATGTGTAGATCTACATCTAGCTTTCTATGCTGCATAATTGCATATAAACTTCATAAACAGAATACTAGATTTAGAAAAGCAATCTTTGTAAGACAAAAGCTGCACTATTTTGGAAACTAATACTAACTTGAAAGAGATTGTTAGATAAGTTTGGAGTTGGTTTTACAACTACTTAGTGATTAATATGTGATTTTGTGAAATTATTGATGAGAAGCTGAAGAAGCTATATATTGAATAGCTATCAGAAGATAGGCTACAATCACTTGCTTCTAAGTTTGAAATATTATGAAGGATTTTGCATATAATTGGAGTTACTAATTGTAGCCATATACCAATTATTGCTCCAAATGAACCACAACAATACTACAATTTGTGAGAAACAAATCCCTAAGCCCTAAAGTGGAGCCAAAAGTGTGTTATGTGGTAGTGGTTGAAGCGGAAGTTCAATTAGTATAACACATCTGGACAAAAAGTTCTCACTTGAAAAGTTAAGAGTGTGAGTGGAATTCCAAATGAAGTGCTCGAAGAATGAACATAAAGTGATTAATGAATGAGTTTATAAAAAGGGAAATAAGAAGGACTAACACATACAAATGTTATGACCAAGTTTAAGATGGAGTCTGAGATGAGATGGGGTTTAAAGTGAAGTCCGAGGTCAAATCTAAGATGGAGATTAAAACTGGGTTCAAGATTGAGGCCAAGACCAAAACTGAATTCGAGTCTAAATACTAATATAGGTCAAAGTGTGAAAGCCCAAAGCGATTGTCCCCCCCGGGGGGGGGGGGGGGGGGGGTCCAAGGCTGCGAGGGGTTTTAAAAGTATAGTATGGAGAGGGGTTTTAAAAGTATAGTATGGAGAGTGTGGGGGTTAAACTTCAATAGAACTATTTTAGCCAGGAAAAGCTAGTATGACCCAAAAAGGCTACACTCATATGGTGTATAATGATATAACTATTGAGGAGTTCAAAGCTAAAGTGAATATAGATAGATTAGTGAAGTAACTTGGTGAAGTGTTCAAGAGTCAGTTTTAAATCCCTTGGGAAATTGAATGGTCAATGCTCCTAATCCAAGTGTGGGTAGCATTACCTACTTGGATACTTGATATGGCTTAACGAAACCTCACTCTAGCCACATGGCTAGGCATCTAAGGGCAAAAGGTGGGGAGAGTACCTATAAGGCTTATATAACGCCATAGTATTTCAAAATGTTATCCTAAAGTCTCGGATTGTGGAAAGAAAGAGGAATAGTTTTTTTGTGTAGTGACCAAGGATATAGTCATATGGTGAGGAAGTCCCAGAGGTCAATAGGATTTAGTTGCCAAACCTTTGAACCCTGACCCAATAATAGTATTGGTGAGTACGGCTGTGGACGAAGAGGGATTTGGTAGGGACCAAAGTAGAGATATTGAAGAAGGGTGCTCTCCATATTTCTAGGCATCTTAAAGATGCTAAGTTATGGTTATGGGATGACTATTCATGGACAGATGGCCCAGTCTTTGAGAAATAAGATTATGTTACAAGTGATTTTGAACTACTAATGAAACAAAGGTAAATGAATATAAATTTAGCATAACAGGTTAGTATGTTAATGGTACATTTGGGGTGTCTATAATGGATCGGACATATGGAGCATTTGGACTAAATACAAAGGTAGAGTGGTATAGAAGACATTTATGGTAACAATTCCCTAAGTTAGGAATAAGACTTATGGAGATTGTGAGTGAGACTCTTCCAAATACTCAAAAGTGTGGTTAACTGACTAAAGTAAAATGGAAAACTTAATCACTTACATAATTGAAGAAGTTTCCACTTTACTAAATGATTGTCTTAGCAAAGTGTATGATCTAGGATCACAACTTTGGCTAGATATGAAGTCTTCATGATTGGACTATTGTAAAATACAAATCTTTAAACCCCAATGTGGAGCTGAAAATGTGTCATGCCAAAGTAGAAGTTTAATAAGTATAACACATTTAGATCAATACCTCTAACTTGAAAAGTCGAGAGTAGGAATGGAACTCCTAAAGAAGTGCTCGAGGAACAAACATGAACAATTGATAAATGAGTCTTTAAAAAGGGATATAAGAAGGATTGACACATGGCAAGTGTCATGACACATACGTGGAAGTGTCAAAACCAAGTCTAAGACCAAGTCCAAGATAGAGTCCAATGCTGAATCCAAGAGGGAGTTTGGGTTTAGGATTGCGACCACAATCGAGACCAAGACCAAGACTAAGATTGAAGATGAAATCCTAAAGCGATCATCTTCCAAACTCTAGAGGGTTTGGAAAATCCTTGTGGGATAGTAGGGGGAAGACCCCACTAGAACTAATATGACTAGGGAAGGTTAGTGTGACTAAAGAAAGTTATACTTACATGGTGGGTGGTAATATGAACACAAAGTTAAAGTGAATATAAATAGACAAGTGAGGTGGCTTGGTGAAGTATTCAAGAGCCACCTTTAACTCCCTTAGAAGATTGAATGGTTAATTTACTTAATTCAAGTGTAGGTGGTATTACCTGCTTCAATACCTTGTGTAGCTTATCAAAACCTCACTTTAGCCATATAACTAAGGCACCATAAAGGCAAAAGGTGGGGAGAGTACCTAAAAAGTTCATATTGAGCTACAGTGTTTTAAAATATCATCCCAAAATGCCACACCGTGGAAAAAAGAAGAGTGGTCCTTTTGTTTGGTGAGCAAGGGTATAGTTATGTGGTGAAGATAGTGGGAATTACAAAATGGCCTTTCGGGCTCTTGGCCAGTGGTGGTGTTGGCAAGCAGTACCATAAACGAAAAGGGACTTAAAGAACATATATTAGGGGATAGTGTTCCACATGTCTTAGGGCATCTTAAGGATGTTAAAATGTGGACTACTCATGGATAGATAGTCTAGTTTTGGAGAGATAGAACTATTATGCGAGTGGTTTTGGACTATCAATAAAATAAGTGTGAATAGATATGGCCTTATCATAATAGACTAGTATATTAGTGATACCTTTGGGTATCTATAGTGGGATTGGATATGTGGAACACTTGGGTTAGCTTTAAGAGCAACTATAAGGGTTAGCAAGCCCCTTAAGTTAGATAAAGATGAAAGTTGTGAGTGATACTCCTTCAAGTGGTTAAGACATGGTTAAATGACTAAAATAAAATGAAAATTGGAGTTTGCGAACACCATTGGCCAGAGAATCCCAAGCGGTCATA